TGCTCTGAAATAGAGGACCCAGCTGAGAAAGGGGATCGAAAACTTCACAAGGTCAAAATACAGTAATCAGCCAGCCCTATTTATCACATTTAATTATGTTTTCAAATTAAAACTGCTCCTTTAAGTCTTATATAAAATACAGTTTTCCTTTGGAGGACCAGACATTATATCGAACTGCTTGGGACTTTAGTGACAGTTATAAGTTCAGATAATTCTAGATGAGTATTCAGTTTTTATTTTAAGTAACATTGCTGTAATTAGCAGTTATAATTTAAATGGTTGCAATTATTTATTATCATTGTTTTTGTTGTTAAGAAGTAAAGAACAGCAAGCAAATTTAGTTCCAGGCTTGAATGACAAACTAGTAGTAAGATCATGTTATTATTATAATTAATCTGTTTTATTCTTCAGAGTCTAGGAATTGTTCTTGTTGAGCTAAGAGGAATTATAATATTCTTTTTATCAATTACATAGCATTATTTAAAAGTGATTTTTACATTTTTTTTGAACCTTGTTTTTCCCCCTCTTACCCATTGGAGATTACTATAGCCCAATAGGCATTGATTTTTCCATTATTAGATAAGGAATTAATTTCTCTTTAAATATTAATATTTTAAAATAGGATTTTTTAGAAAATAGTGAATACTGTTGTAAATAGGTATACATTATGCTTTTTCAGAGTGCTTTTACTTGTTTTATTTAACTATTATCAATATTTTCACCAATAACTAAAATGGTAAAACTTTAAAACTAGAACTATTTTAGGGATTATTCTAGTTCAACTGCTTTATTCCAGGTAAGGAAACTAACCAAGAGAAGATGAAATTCAAATTAGTTACCTTTGTTAATTGTAATAGTGCATTTAGAACTTAAAAAAAGGTAAATATAGTTTTTGGAGGGATTTCCGTTTTATTTTGTCAGTTCTCAGCATTAGGTTTAGAAATGTTGAAAATTAGGCAAACCCAATTAGGACAAAGGGATTTGAAAATTATTGATGACAATCTAGATCATAGGTAGTTAATGTGATTTTTTTATTTTTTAAAAGTTTATACGGTGGTACTTGCATTAGTCAAAACGCAATTAACAATAGTACTTAGTTATATGACTTTTTTTAGCACTCTACCTTATAAGAAAGAGATTAATCAAAAGCATCCAAAAGGGATAGCAATAAACCATCAATAAAATAACTCTAATATATTCTTGAGTTAGTTTTGATGTGTTGCTCTTCCTTTGCATTTTCTATTGATATTTGGAGCTCAGGATAGTAATTTTTTAAAATAGTAATTCTTAAAAATGATTATAAAAATCATGTTGATATCATTATTATGTTTGTTACTATGTTTACTATGTAGAAAAGTGTACTCGTACATTTTAGGAACATTTTAAACACAATATTAATTAAACAGGATGCCTAAATGCCTCATTTCCTGAGCATTGTAGTAAATCAGAGTTATTTTGGGTGCTGGAATCTACTGATACGTATAAGAACTAGGAAGTAACCCTTATTCCTTTGTGTTCTTTAAATTCCTTATTAGAATTTCATATCTAATTTATCTCTGCTTTTGGAAAAGCATATAAAATGCCTGATGTTACTTCAGAAAAGAACAACAGTATTTATGAAAAAAACAATTAGAAGGCAAAAGGGAGTAGGGACAGATAATTTAATATAAATATCTTATATGTGTGTTAAGAACTAAGAAAAATTATATGAACCTAAATTATAGTCAACAAGGATTGTGTTACACAAAGAACTTTTTCACTTTTGGTCTAACTATAATGAGCCTTTATAAAATCAGCAGCATCCTTGGGAAAACTTAAATATAACACAGATATTTATTTCTCTGAGATTGTTGCAGTGTCTGCTGACAGAGAAAATTCATTAAAAACAGAAACTGTAAATCTCAGTAAAACACCTATTCACAATGGTCAAAAAGAAATATTCTCATTAATTTAACATTTGGATTGAGAATATTTTTAAAAATTAGGGTAAAATATTAATGCTAAAGGTGTTCTGCATTTAATTTAATCATAAATTCACAAGGAAACTTAGAATTCTGCAGTTTATCCAGATTAACGGCTATGTGCATTTGGTAGCATTATACTGAAAATATTAAAAAACTAGGATATAGAGCTGATCATACCCGATTTTAAACTTGTTCTGTGAAGTTGATTTTCAGGGTAAATCTTGCATATCTGTTTTTTAAATTACCAGTTGTTTCTTTCTCTTGAAACTAGGATTTAAATGTGGAAAGAAAAAAATCTAGTTTAAATTGTAGAGAGTTCAGAAACATGTCTTAGTAGGAGAAAGATAAATAGAACAACAGTATAGAATATACAATTTGGAGTAAATTGACCAATTTCAGAATAAACTGTTCTGTTTCTCCTGTGCATGTTAAAAATATACTTTGTATTCATATTTCTTTGTGCCATTGTTAATGTTACATATACAGCATATTAAAGGGTGACAGTTTTAACCATTGTTAAATTATTCAACAGGGACTAAATAGTAGGAATAGTTTACCAACTCCACAGCTGAGGAGGAGCTCAGGAACTTCAGGATTGCCACCTATTGAGCAGTCTCCAAGGTGGGAGCGCAATATTGCCAAAAGGCCTCACCAAGAATTTGGCGTTGCAAGGTAAAATCTCTAGAGCCTTAAAAAAAAAAAACCCTGAAACTAATGTATCTACTTAGATTCTGTGAATAAAGTTTGAAATAGTTCTAAAAGCAGAAAGCAATGGTTGAAATATTTTAGGTATAGCACAACATGGGTGGTAATAATATGGTATAATACAGAAACTGATTCTTAAGAAGAAGCTAACATGCTTTCTCTCAAGACTTAGGTAGCTTGAGTACAAAGCATGCTAACACCTTAAAAACATGAGTCAGTGAGATGGTTTAGGGAAACTAGAATCAGTTTAGGACAGGGTACTGGGAAAGCTTTTAAATCCGTAGAAGTGGCCATTACAAGGGCAGTCACCAACCAGTGCACAGTATCCAAAGGTTAGTTAGCAGAATTACTGATTTGTGAAAGAAGGAGCACGTTCCCAGGGCTTATCATGGTTGTTAGGTTTAAGGTTACAAGACTCTTTTAAACCCTGTTCCTGCTAGAGGCTGAGAGTACTAACATATTCTGTATTTTGTTGAGGCTTTACTTGGAACTAAACAGTGCTAATCCTATTCAATTCAATTCAATCCTACTCAATTAAAGACATCAGTAACTACAAGTAAATGAGGCTGGTAAAATGCAGGAGCTGAAATCTTCTGAATGTAAATATATACACTTACAGTGATAACAAAGTATTTAATACGATGCTTTGTCTTTTGAAAGCCAGGGAAGATACTGATCTCTTGTATGGGTTTATTGTAAGAATCTCTTTAGTCAGTTATCTGACTATGTTAATAAAATTGGTATTAGTGTAAATTCCACGTTAAACCACTTTCTGTTTTTACTGAACATATGTTGTACAATACTTTTAATTTGAGCTGTATGGTTTCACATTTGAAACAGTAGATGGCAGGATTGGATCATAGCTATTTATCTGTTAAACTTTAACGTTTACATGTGAAATATAATCAGATAATTATGATTTTCCAGATTCTTTTGTGGGTTATTAATTTGAATCTTCTATAATACATTCAAATAGGTAAACTTCTTTTTTATAAAAGAAAAATTGAGTAAAATGATGTATAAAACAGAAGTGGATTGAAGTATGAAGAGTGCAGTACAGGAAAATGAGCATTGGTCCAAAGTTTGCCAAAGCCTGAACATGGTAGTCTTTTTTTTTTTTTTTTTTTTTGGAATGGAAGCAGGATATAGGGAAGTGAATGATGTCAGGAACTGAAAATGTAATAGTATTTCTTAACTATGAGAAGCATTATCTTGAAACTATTGTTGGATTTTAAAAGGAATGATGAAAATTATTCTGTTTTTTAATGTTTTACACTGATGTAACAGCATGTATTTGCAGTTAAAGAAACATTTGATACTTTGAGTTTAAGGTCATTTTTATTCTGCTGCCTCAGGTAATTGATATTAAAATAGAAAACTAATCTTCAACTCTGAGAAGTGTTCACATAAAGGTAAATGTTGGCAGCTTCTATATATTGACTTAACTCTCATTAAAACAAAATCCATATGCCTCATCAAAGATTTAGAAATTTGAAGATTAAAGTAATTGGTGGTATTATGCACATCTACTTTAAAGAGACCAGGCTAGATATGGCGTCTTTTCAAAAAGCTAAAGCCTCTCAGTAATAATAAACTTCTAAATGTACTTTGAACATAGGCAGGGTAAGATGGGAATATATGAAGCATTTACAAACACTATTCCTTTTCAAATTTAAGTCTCTTTAGATCGGTGCCATCCAAATAGAAATTTCTGCAGTGATGGTAATATTTCATATCTGCACTGTCCAATATGGTACTCCCTAGCTCCATGTGGCTAGTCATCATTTGAAATTTGTCTAATATGACTAAGGGACCAGATATTAAATTTCATTTAATTTTCATTAATTTAATTCAAATATAAAGAGCCATATATATGTGACTATCATGTAGATATATATGTGGCATCCATATTAGTGCAGCTCTAGATTTTTAATGCATGGTAATGTTTCAGTAGTACAAAACTAACAGACTTGTGACTCTGGAATCATCCTTTTTTCCCCCAAGAACAGAAATTTTAATAGGATGATAAACCAACATATGAGCTTTTTATTTTCTAACAAAATGAATTTAAAAATTTTTTTGTTATTTCAAAATACTCATTAAGGGAGTACAGGCAATTTTATTACATGGATATTGTGTATAGTGCTTAAGTCAGAATAGTGTCAATTGTACCCAAGAGGTAAATTTGTACCCCACACCCACCCTTCCACCCTTCCCCTTTTCTTGATTTCTCATGTCCTTTATATCACTTTGTGCCCAAATATACCCATCTATTAGATCCCACTTATTAATGAAAACATGGTGTTTGGTTTTCCATTCCTGAGATACTTCACTTAGGATAATGGTCCCTAGTTCCTTCTACATTGCTGCAAGTGACATTATTTCATTCCTTTTTATGGCTAAGTATTACTCCATGGTATATATATATATTACATTTTCTTTATCCACTTATGAATTTATGGGCACTTAGGTTGATTCCATATCTTTGCAAATGTGAATTGTGCTGCAATAAACATTTGAGTGCAGGTGTCTTTTTGATAAAATCATTTCTTTTCCTTTGGGTAGATACCCAGTAGTGGGATTGCTGGATTGAATGGTAGTTTTACCTTTAGCTCTTTTAGGAATCGCCATATTGTTTTCCATAGAGGTTGTGCTACTTTGCTGTCCCACCAACAGTATAGGAGTACCTTTTTCTCTGCATCCATGCCAGCATCCATTGTTATTTTACTTTTTAATAATGGCCATTCCGATAGGGGTAAAGTAGTATCTCATTGTGGTTTTAATTTGCATTTCCCTGATGGTTAGTGATGTTGAACATTTTTTCATGTGTTTCTTGGACATTTTTCTGTCTTCTTTTGAAAAGCTTCTGTTCATGTCTTTTGCCCATTTTTTGATGGGGTTGTGTTTTTTTTTCTTGCTGATTTGTTAGAGTTCTTTGTAGATTGTGGTTAATAGTCCTTTGTTGGATGTATAGTTTGTGAATATTTTCTCGTATTCTGTGAGTTGCATGTTTGTTGATTGTTTCCTTTACTGTGCAGACGCTTTTTAAGTTCTATTTATGTATTTTTGTTGTTGCTATATTTGCCTTTGAGGTCTTAGTCATAAATTCTTTGCCTAGAACTTTGTCTAGAAGAGTTTTTCCTGTGTTTTCTTCTAGAATTTTTATGGTTTTGTGCCTTAAATTTAAGTCTTTAATCCATCTTGAATTAATTTTTGCATAGGGTGAGAGATAGGGGTCTGTTTCATTCTTCTGCATGTGACTATCCAATTCTCCTGGCACAATTGATGAATAAGGTGTCCTTTTCCCAATGTATGTTTTTGTCTCTGTTGTCAAAGATCAGCTGGTTATAATTATATGCTTTTATTTCTGAGTTCTCTATTCCTGTGGTCCCCAACCCCCAAGCTGTGAACTGGTACTGGCGTGTGGCCTGTTAGGGACCGGGCTGCAGAGCTCCACCCACCCACAAACCAACCCACCCCTCACGGTGGGTGAAAAAACTGTCTTCCATGAAATTTAGGAATAGGGGGTTAGGGTTAGCTCCTCCCAAGGTGGAGGCTTTAGCATGGTGATGAGGAAAGTTCACTTGAGTTCATCTATAAGCTGCCATGGTTGGTCAGGGGCTAGTTTTAGCTGTCTGGGTCGCTACAGGCTTTACAGAGTTCTGTAAAAACAAGAAGCTGAAATACAGGCTGATTGCTCAAGCTGGTTGGATTCCTATAGTCCCTGGACACCCTCCTTTTTTACTTACAATAATGTCTGTTGTTGCTATTATAATTATTGTTAATATCAACAAAGAAGTTTTAATGAAGTGGTTGCCAACTGATTTTGCATGCCTTCTCTTGATAATACAGAATCTTTTTCTCTTATGGAGATACAGATCTGTAATCAAATACTTGCTCAGCTGCTTGCAGCTTGCAAAGGCCAATAACAAGGATGAGATGTAGTGAAAGGAAAGTGACTTTATTCCAGAGCTAGCAGTGGGGAAATGGGCAAGGTTTGTGCCTCAAAGAAACCATTTCGAAGTCTTGGGCTGAGGCTAGGGGTTTACAAAGGGAATTTGGTATGGTAGTCAGTATTTGTGAAGAGTGGGAACAGAAAACAATTAAAAACTATATTTTAGGCCAGTGGTTCTCAGTTAGGTCCCTGGACCAGGAACACTAGAATCATCTAAGGCAGGAGGATTGCTTGAGCTGAGGAGTTCGAGGCTGCAGTGAGCTATGATTGCATCACTGCACTCCAGCATGGGTGACAGAGAGAGACCCTGTCTCTGGGGAAAAAATAAAAAAAGACGACTTCCAGGTGATAATGATAACCTGGTTTAGTCCAGGGATCAGCAAACAGATAGCCTGTGGACCTAATCTGGTTTATAACCTGTTTTTATAAATAAAATTTAATTGAAACACAGCCATACCAATTCATTTATTATTGTTTATGGATGCTTTTGTGCTACAATGGCAAAGTTGAATAGTTGCAGCAGACCTTATAGCCTACAAAGTGAAAAGTATTTATTATCCAGTTCTTTACAGAAAAAGTTTGCTCTCTTCTGCTTTAGGGCTTAGGCACTAGATAAATGTCAAAACTCTGAATTTATAAGTATATATTTGCTTATTGAATTAAAGACCACGAAGAAGAACATTTTTTCATGGTTTTAAGATTCTTAACCTGTTATCTTTCCCTTTCAGTCAAGGATGCTATCTAAATGGGCCTTTTAGTTCAAATCTACTGACAATCCCGAAGCAAAGGTCATCTTCTGTATCACTGACTCACCATATAGGTCTGAGAAGAGCTGGTAAGAAATTAGTCTTTATGATTTAAGTATGGGAGATCTCAAAGTTTATGGTAGTATAAATTCTTTTCATTACACATTATAGCTAATTTTGAATACAATTTCATGTGTTGTAAGTTAACATGACCAAACAATTTGTGTTGGTTAATAGTTGACCATTTGCTAATTCTTTTAGTAAATACTTTTTGAACATCTACTATGTACCAGGCACTTTTTAGGCACTAGGGATTCAGAGATAAAATATAGAACTATTCAACTAACCCGAATACTTACACATCCAAAACAAGGAAAAATCTTCAGCAAAGAATATTTCTTTTGTAGAATGGTAAATGTATAGAAAAAAACTTAGTATGAGAACAGGAAAAACCCTGAATATATCCTGCTAAGTCATTTCAGTAGAAATTTTCTTTAAATTAAAAGATTATAGAATGCTTCAAAACTTCTTGGCTGAAAGATATTTTACAAATACAGCATAGTAATAGCAGAGCAAACTGATATTCTGCTTTTTAAGTACATTATGGCTGATATTAGATGGGTACAGTGGAATATACAAGCACAAAATTCATTTATACACAATAAAAAATTATTAAACATGTGAAGAGGTAGGAAAATGTTACGATAATCAGGAAAAGCAAGCACTAGAAAAAGATTTACATATATTGTACATGATATTGATGCTGGACCTAACAGTCTTCAAAATAACAATGATGTTTTAAAAGAAATAGAAGGAAAGATGAGCAAAATCAATGGATACTTTGAACAGAGAACTGAAACACAGAAAAGAAGTGATGGATGGTCTAGAGATGGTCTAGAGAAATGTATTTGATTTATTTAGAAGCTTATTTGATAGATTAAGAGTGTATTGGACACAACAGAAAACAAAAAATAGTGAACTTGAAAACAGAGAAATAGAAAATATCCAAATTGAAGTGCAGAAAGGGAAAAAAAACATAATAACGGAACAAAGTATAAGAGACATACCGGACACAGTCAGAAGTTCTAAAATGTGTGTGAATGAAGTCCCAGAAAGAAAGGAAGGGGAATAAAGGACAGAATAATTTTCCAAAACTAATAAAAGAAAGCAGCCAACAAATTCATAAAACTCAGTGAACCACAAGCAGGATTAATAGAGAAAATCACAGCTAGGTATATCAGTCAAACCCTTTAATTATAAAATAAGGAAAAAAATTTGAAAGTAACCAGAAAAAGGTTATTTTCCAGGGAGCAACAGTAGTACTGACAATGACTTCTTAATAGCAACTATGAATCTCAAGGACAATGGAACAGCATAGTTGAAGTGTTCAAAGAACAAAACTTGTCAACATAGAACTCTTTATCCAATGAAATATCCTTGAAAAATTAGAGCAAAATAAAACTTTTTTTTCCAAAATGTCCTTACCCCTCCACACACAAAATGGTAACCAAGTGTGGTGATGTATATGTTAATTAGTGTGATCATGGTAATCATTTTACAGTATATGTGCAAATCAAGTCATCATGTTGTATACCTTGAATATTATACAATTTTTGTTGATCAATTATACCTCAGTAAAGCTGGCAAAAATATTTTTACTAAATCAGGTAAGAAGCTAGAGAAAAAGACAATTTGTTTTTCAAACAAACAAAAGCTGAAAAAATTTGTTGCTGACAGGCCTACACTACTAAGATTCATAAAGGAAGTTTCTTAGCAAGAAAATGATCTAGATTGAATCAGGAACAAATGAAACTGCAGGAACAAATGAAAAGCACCAGTAATGCTAAATAGGTGGATGAGTATAAGAAAATATTGATGGGAAAAACAACAATAATAACTCTCTTGTAGTATTTGTAATATATGTAGAAATCAAATATATGGCAACAATAGCCTCAAGGGAAAGGAAGGGGTAAATGGA